CATATTCAAAACTGCTCCTTTTAAATATTAGAAAGCACAATTGACTGTTGTTTTTGACAAATAAAAATTAAATATACTTCAACTCATAAAATGGAGTTCTTCATATTGGGCATGCATGAATGTCTTGCACGTTATCTTCTCGTTGACATGGTTCAAAAGACAGCATACAAATAACATTATAAATTTCTGTTTTGAGTAACTAAAGATCCAACTTGCCTTTTAAAATCCTAATGTGTGTGGATCACACGTTCCGTGATTGTCGTCATCGAGATCCGGTTATGGAAGAGGACATCTACTCTAGTCGCATAGAATAACGAAGTCGTCAACAAAACCTTTAAAAAACTACTGGCTCAGTTTCATTTCTACAAATGTGTAATGGGGTTTTAAGGGTCACTTGGCCCATATAAACAAAAACAATGGGCTCGGCCCTAAAAACAATTTCGGTCTCATGCAATTTAAATAGAAGAATATTTTCAAAAATAAAAAAAAAACCTTTAAAAAATATAACCAATGATATTATGTTGTAGGCAGGCCGACAACAACAAAAAAAAAAAATGTTGTAGGCAGAACCGGCCGACCCAACCCGAAGTCATAATATTCGCATCTATGTTTTTAAAATCCGAACACATTTTAAATCCTTAAAAAAATATAAATCTGAACAATACAAGAAACAAAAAAGAAATGAGAGATATAATATATATGTTAGATGATTCTTAAAACTTACACATTTTGAAAGAAGAATTTCTAATCATAATTTTTATTGGCAAATTTTAGCTTTACGTACAATATTTTGATGATATATTTTCTTTTCTTTTTTTTTGGCGAAAGAGAATATATTTTCTATATGTAATAGAACGATGGAAATGAAAGAGAAAACTAATAAGAAAAAGTATATCACATTCAATGTGTAGTATCCTTATTTTCCATAATCAATATCTACAAATTTTATTTCAACCTTTTTTCTTTAAAAGTTTATACTGCTTTTTGGCTTTTCTTCTAAACTTTTGAACTCCTTTTAAAAGATTCAACAAGAGAGATAATATATATCTTTTTCGGAAAGAAATTGCACGCTAAAATGATCAAGAAAATTACCAGAAAAAGAATATCAGATGAATATATAAACATGGTGTGCTTCGTTATAAGAGGGTAAAAGAAGAGGACTTGCTCTTTATCAGTTTGGCCCATAAGCTTTCTTGTCTTTGCTTAGTTATTACTTCTCCTCCTCGATGCTACTTTTCATCCTCTAGATTATTTCTCAATTGCATATTTTGTACAATCATTTTACTATTTATTATATCCTTATATTAAATTTTCTAATTCTATAGATAACGATCTACTATTTATAATAGACAAATTTTAATTCACCTTCACATGGATAGCTCAGCATACACTATATAAAATCGAAACCACTAATTTTGTAGTAGTTTCTTTTGGAATTTTTTTTTAATTTTGTAGTAGTTAGAAACTATTTTCATATATTCTTTCATTTTGTAAAATTCACAGGTAATATTGCCCATCAATCGGAGACTTAAGGGTCGGATCAAAGATGCCAATGTTTGACAGACTTTAAGAAATAAATTGGAGTGTGGTAATCTTCTTACAAAACGCCACTCCTTGAGCAGTTAGAAAATTTTATGTATTTTAATGCCCTCTCGTCGGTTTATTTATAATATATTTCAATTCTATAGAGCAGTTCGTTGTGTGTGTTGTTCTAAATGGTTCTCATGATACAGTGTTTTTAGTATTGATTGGCATGTTACAAACAAAGATTAATTAGGCTCAAGATACAAGAAACAACAATTTAGGACAAAACTAGAAAATTCTAAATTAGAATATACGTTGTAAAGTTGGACATAGATATATTAGTTTTATGTTCTTTACGCGTTGGCATTCTTCTGTATCGATAATGACGTTATACAATTAAAAAGATGTTTAAGATAATACGTTAATTTATGTTTGACCAAAAAGAGAGATAAAATTCTTAGTAAACAGAAGATAATATTGTAGCATATGATGAAATTGATACCTCCACCAAATATAAAACAACACAATAATCTTGGAATGCTTTCTTGCCCGTTAGTAATTGTTCGTTTGCGGCTCTCCTAATTGTACTATTAGGGATTAGGTACTGTAATTTTGGAATAAAGAAAGATCAGTGATAACACGAAACAAGTTGTTGTTTAGTGAAAAAAATCTTTCATATCCTGATGGGATTGCTCAACTGATACTAGCTAGGTATGCAAAAATAGAGTGTCTTTAAGATGCTGAGAACTCGCTATAGGACAATTAGATGTCATCTCTCAGTTAAATACAAACCTTTTTTTTGTAGTTGATGATTATGACATTCTAACGGTCAACACAATCAATAAAAGACTTTCTATGTTACTAACTTACTATAGCTTGATTTATGGACCAAACATTCACCTTCTTTTAGCATATATCATCTGCTACTAATTTTTATCACAAGAGGCAGATGTAGTTAGTTAGAGGATTTGAATTTTGCGTTTTAATAATCATTGAAATATTTTTATTTTGTCGACCAAAAAGAACGAGATAAAAGGATGCTATGAGTTTTAGAACATCCAACGTGTTTTAATCTTTTAGAACATCCAAGTTATATTATGAAAAAGTATTTGTGGAAGTACGTAAACCTCGATGTTCAAAAAAAAAAAAATTACGTAAACCTCAATAAGCTTTAAAAGAAAAATCTAAAGTGAAACCATGATCCATGAGTCAGGAAAAGTACTAAAATAAAAGAGACATTTGCAAAAATACCACAGATTTATTCTCTCTCTTACATCCAGTTCTAGATCTAGATCCGGATTTCATCATTTTCTTTTGTTGCAAATATGGTTTTAATTTATTTGTGTTGAAGATCCGAGTTTTTTATTCGATTTTGGTTATAAATCTAAGGTTTTTTGTACAAATCTGAAATTTTGATTATTTTAATTATTTCTGGGTTAGTTTTTTTTTTATGTTCTTCTTATTGATCTATGGTTTTGACGTTTTTTATAAAGTTTTTTACAGTTTTATAAAGGTTTATAAAATTAATAAAGTTTATAAAGTTTTTTTACCGTTTATAAAAGGTTTATAAAATTTATAAGGTTTATAAAGTTTTTAAAATGTTTTTTAAACACACTTAAAAAAAATTTAAACAATCTAGATTAATTTGTTCTTGATATTTTTCAAAATGATGTAAAGTTTTGACGTTTTTTTATGAATTTTTTAAATAATTTAGAAATTTTTAAACAATTTATAAGAGTTATCTATATGTTTTTAAAACTGAACCGATGAAATAATA